TGTCTCATACTAATGCGTCTGATCACAAACTGTGTCTCTACCAGTACTTTTGTTGTCAAGCAAACGTCTGCCCTCACTGGCTCCTGCTGTCTTCATTAGGGGCTCTGTATCAAAACAAATACTCCAATAAATATACTTATTAAATTTTATTTTTTATTCTAGAGATCAGCTTTTTTTTTTTTTTTTAACTTATCCACATTTTATGTCCTTAGGTGCCTCTAATAGGTCCAGCAGGCCTTAAGTTAAATAAACAAACCATTAGGCTGAGAAACTATGTCAAAATGAGCACCGTTAGCAGGATATTAATAAATCCAGTCACTTAAGAATTTCAGCCTTGACAAAGATACTCCAGGGGGAAATAAATTTAACATATTCCAGCCCAAGGAAGCCCCCCACCAATGACTCCGTCCAAATGAAGTGAAATATTGACTGTTTCAGATCTTCTGGGCTCTAGAGAAATTTGGGCTAATCATCCTTTGGACTCATCCCGGGTCAGGTGGGAAGACTTTCATTGCCTGCTTAGCTTTTGGGAATTTTTTTCCCCTAGCCTGTGAGGAGGAAAGAGGAATATTTGTTGAGAGACCCTTGAAAGGTAATCTGAGATTACCTGTACACTCTAGTGAGCACAGAGCCCTCAGGCAGGCGAGGAAGTTGAGGGAATGACTCTCTGTACTGCAGGGGAGGTTCAACAACTCAGTGTGCTCTCCTGCTCATTCATGGAACACAGGCTCCCATGGCAGACCCTGCTCTACACAGGGTTGTAAGATGTGGTCTCTCCCTGCAAGGAGCTTACAGTCTAGAGGGGAAGACGACTAAATAAGCAATTAGAAAAAAACTGAGCAAATTTTCACAGAATCAAATGCTTTCTCCTTACCCCTAAAGGTCCCCCATGAAGTACCCCTGCCTCACTTTCTGAACTCATATTCTACCACCCTTTTTCCTTTGTTTCAGCCATAAGGGCCATCTTGTTGTTCCTTGAATAGGCCAACCTTGCTCCTGACTCAGGGCCATGCATGCCCGGAGCACTCTCTCCCTATGTCTTTGTCACACAACTAAAAAGTACCCCATCCACCCTTCTCTATTCCTGTACCTTCTTTTCTTTCTTTCTTTTTTTTGAGTTGAAGTCTCACTCTATTGCCCAGGTTCGAGTGCAGTGGCATGCTCACAGTCACTGCAACCTCAACGTGCTGGGTTCAGACAATCCTTCCACTTCAGCCTTCCAAGAAGCTGGAACTACAGGCACGCATGACCGTGTCTGGCTAATTTTTTATTGATTGTAGAGACGAGGGCTTGCCAAGTTGCCCAGGTTGGTCTCGAACCCCTGGGTTCAGGCACTCCTCTCGCCTTGTTCTCCCAAAGTGCTGGGATTACAGGCGTGAGTCACTGCCCGGCCCTCTATTTTCTTAATAGCACTTGTCAGCATTTGAAATGGAACCAGGCGTTGTTGATTACTGCCCACATCCCCAACAGAATGTAAACACCACACAGGCTGTTTACATTTCCCCAGAACAATACCCGGCACCAATAAATAGAGGGTGCTCGCTAAGGATTTGTGGATAACCAAGTGTAATAAGGGAAGTGCACGGTGTTAAGAGAACTCATTCTGGGTGACTGGGGTAGGTGTCCCGGGAAAGTGGCATTTGTGAGAGTTAGCCAGGTTTTTTTGGGAGAAAAGGGTGAGAAGGGGAGGCCGAGAAAGCACGGAAGAGTGACTGCAGAAATTGCGTCAGAGTGCGGGTCAGCACTATTGACGAAAAAAGAGATGAGAAAGAGTCCCCCCCATCTGGCCTTTGGCATGGCGGCTGCAGAACGCTCAGAGCTTGCTTCCATCAGAGCTGCCCCCGGAAACAGCTCCCCAGGAGAGAAGACAACTGGAGGGAGAAGTGTTGCTGCATGGCGCCACCTCGTGGCCAGAGCCCTGGGAAGGAGGCGCACAAGTCTATGGCTTTAGGGTTCTGGCCCCTCACCTCCCTCCTCTGATTCTCTGACGGTCTCTTTCCCGCGTCCAACAAATAAACAACATTGTGGCCAAGTGGATCTTTTGGTAAACTACACCTCAGTCGTGGCATTTTTAATGATTTTATCTTGTTTAAAGGTGGGCTATGTTGGGCGATCCTCATCATAACAGCACATACTTACGGAGCCCTTTCTGTGTCCTGGGGACATCGCATGTATTCATTCATTTAATCCTCACAGTACTGTGAGTGACTATCAGTATTCCCGTTTCACACAAGAGAAAGGTGAGGCCTGGAATGTTAACGGACGCACAGACTGCAGGGATAGAAGTGGCGGAGCAGGACTCACACGTGGGCGGCCATGCTCCCACTGCAGCCTGATGCCACAGGAAGGGTCACAGAAACCTGGGCCTGGGCAGCCAAGGGAGAGGCTGGAACAGCGAACAGTGCAGTAGGAACAAACACCTCCACCGCAGTTTCCCCAAACCCCAAGCTACCCTAGAGGCCCTTTACAGAGCCAAAGGAGCTGCCAATAAAGCAAGAAAAACTCTCCAGCTGAGGATAGTGCAGGAAGCTGACTCCAGCCTCCTGAGTGCCTTGGGGCCCGGTGCCAGGGTGTCACTGTGCCAGGCTCACCCTACCCCAAATCTTGTGCAGACACAGTCCAAATGCTGCCAGGTCTGAGCGCGTGGCTGCATCTCTCAGCCTTGTTCACCATTTATGGTATCTGAGCCTCTGTCTGGCCTTCACAGGCCAGTAAATCCTCACACTGGAAGGGGGTTCTCACTCACACAGGCCTGTTATTAGAGCAAATCCAAACCACCCTGGCAGAGTTTTTGCCTGGGACCTCTCTGTGTCCTTAAAACATACTCAGACGGGCGATCATTCAGGCCCCAACCCTGACAGGCCCAGCAGTAAGGAGGATGGCCCCTGGCCGGTCCTGATCCTTCATCTGAGACCCCCACCTCCAGGGAACTCTTCGCTCAGCTGGGTCAAGCTAATCCAATCTAAACACAGACAACCCAGGACAGGCCCTGGATTAGCTGGGCCCTTGGCTGAGGCTGTCAAAGAAGAGTCTCAGAAAATGGAAGCCTGAGATATGAGGCCCAGTGTGTGCCATTCTCCCTGTCTCTGCCCATTATTAGACTTTGGGGCAGGCCATTCTGACCTCCACAAAAAGTCCCTTGGGGAAAGGTGATTCCTGCTCCCCTAGCCTTAGGAGATAAGGCTCTGAGCAGCTCTTACTTCTTTTTAAGTAAGGAATTATTACAATGTCCTGAGTTCTCTCCCCTCCCCCAGTCCCACGAGCCATGAAATTAGAACTAAGAGGAGAAATGGGGCTAACAGTATAAACTAGAATACTGGTTGGCAAATTCCCAGGGGCCAGAGTTGGGTTCTGACCCGAGTAAGGAGGGCTTCCTGGAAAGAAGGGTAGATGCCAGTTCGCTGATGTCGACTCTGTTTTTTCAGAGAAATCAAGAGTTCATGGAGTGTGCTCACTCCCAGCAGAGGGCTTCATGGAGCCAGTGTCGGTACACATTCTCTGTTGTACCAGTTATTTCATCCCTAAGGGACTGACATTGCCCAGCCCACAGTGGCCAGCCTCCTGCTTTGGGCCAGGGAACAAGCACTCTGAAAAAGGGCAGGGCATAAAAATGACCATGGACTTGAAAGCCACAGGATCTGGTTTCAAAAGACCAGCTTGGCTTACTAGCTTGGCACACTTAGACAAGTTACGTGAACTTCTTGAGACTTCCAGACCCTTCTGTGTAAAATCGAGACAGCACCCCTGGCCCCAGGCTGTTGAGGTCTCAATGAGGGAATACAGGTGAGGTGAAAGCATTCAGCATGGGGGTAGGGAGGGGAAGGGAGGTGGGACTAATGGTAGTGAATATCTGTCTGGGGACAGGGAGACACCCCTTATCAACAAGGGTACCTGAATGATACATATTTGTATACCTAACCCTTAACTGTACCCCACAATTTTAAAATTAAAAATTAAAAAAAAAAAAAAAAAGAAAGCAGTAAATGTTCTTTCCCTTTTCCTTTCCAATAAAACCAACTCCTGCAGTCTTCTGGAAGGTGGCTGCTCACAATACAGGAAACTCTCCTTACAGTCTGAACCCTGGGGGACAGAGAGGAGGTGAAGTCTCCTGCTTGTCTGATGGGAAAAGCAGACACACTCTACCCAATCCAAGCGCCCAGAGGACCCAGTCATGTACATGAGCTAGGGGGCTGGGCCCGGGCCCAGGCCCAGGATGAGGGTGCAGTCAGGCTTACCTGAAGGCCCTGGACTCCAGACACACCTCCCTGGGAACTGTCACCATGCCTGCCGATATCACAGCCCAGACAGATTCGTCTTGAGCCTGTGGCTCCCTGCAATTCCTTGGGACTAAGTGCTTGGCTGATCAATGGATGGCCATGATAATCAGATTACTAGACACCAGGCTGGTGATGTGTAAAGACAAGCCTGGGGTGGTGGGAGGAGGAGGGGCAGGAGTGGGAGTGGGGACAATCTGTGACCCTCCGGAAGCCTTAATAACCACACTGTCGTCACCCAGTGTCCCCCAGAGTATAAGCAGTCACTTGCGAGACCCCGAACCACATTGGGAATCCATGATTACACCCCCTAAGTCTTCCCATGGTGTGAGAGGTTTTCTTCCTATTAGACCCGGAGCTTCTAGAGCCCAGGGAGCCTTTGCTTCTGCCCCTTCATCTTCCCATGGCCCCAGTGGGGTGAGGGACTGGGGTAGTGGCCACCTCTCCTGGCAGACCCTTTTCTCTGTGAACTCCTGGAGGTTATCTCCTCTGTCCGCCCATCTTCAGGCGTAGTGCTTGTAAGGAAATCTCTCCACTGTCCCTAAGAGGTTTCAGCAACTCCTCCTCTGTGACAGAAACTGCCTGTGGTATGGTGGAAAGTATCACGTGCACCTCTGCTTCCTGGAGTTTAGCCAGTAGTACCATTTTTCTATGATTGTGCCCTTCCTCCAAAGCAGATATATCTGCAGAAAATGTGCTTCAAGTGAGGTGCCTGGAAGTTCCTACCGTGGACGGTGACACGGGCACTGCAGGACACCTGCCCCGAGGCATTCTCAGCCAGACAGGTGTAGGTACCATCATCCTCTGGCAGGGCGTCCTGGACATGCAGTTCGGCCATGCCGGCCTCATAGGTGGAGCGGGCATACTGGATGGGCTGCCCTGGGGAGGAAGCACAGGGAGGCTCAGGCCAGGGAGCGCTGGTGGTGGAACAGTAAGTCCTGACCTCAGCAGGGTTACTGCGTTGTGCCACTGGGGCTTGTCATGCTTGCTCCGGTCCACTGAGGGCTAACGATGTGTCAGGCCCATCTCCAGCCAGCTGGACAAGAGGCCTTCGGGCTAGAGAAAGAGGTGGGGCTAGGGATGAAGGAGAGGGAGCAATGGTGTGGGTGGGGGAGGAAGACGGCCTAGAAGGATGGGAGAGGGGGAATTTAGAATACAAGAGGGAAAGGGAGATAGCTTTGGGCATTTGTTATTCAGCAGTCTCCAAATCCACATCCTTAACTTCACAGAATTCCAAGCCTGGAAAGAATCTTAGGGTCATTTGGCCCACAGCCCAGCCTCAGGCAGAACAGACCTTGCACAGACAGAACGTGAGTCTCCCAGTCCCTTTTAGATGTGTCCAGAAATAGTGATCCCATTTCCCATTGGGGATATTTATCAAAAGGCAATTCTGCATCCCAACCTAATGTTGCAGTTAGGTGCATTTCTTCTGTGCAATTAGGTGGATTAATATTTTAGGGTTCACAGAAAAGATGACTATGGGGAACTAAAAAGACTCTGGCCCCTTTTCCCCAGAGTTCCTTCCAATGAGAAGCCCTTGATTCAGGTCACATAAAGTCCTGTTTGGAGACAAGAGGGCATGCAATGAGCTTTAGCGTTTTCCGTTATGCTGTATGTTCCCGGGATTTTATCATTCCAGAATGCAACTTTTCATTTCCAGGAAAAAAAAAAAATCTCAAGACTGAAGATACTGGCCTTAGAGCAGGAATGTATCCATTTGCAGTATAGGAAGCAACTGTCAGTTTCTTCCCCTGCCAGGTCCCAGGGTCCTGGTTTGCACTTCATAAAATTGGGGGTGGGTGGTAGGGGAGGGAGAAAGTACAGAAAGAAGTCCTCCCCCTGCAACGCAATGTTTTCTTCTGCACATAGCAACACTTCATGTCTCCATGACAGTTTGGCAAAGAGACCGCCAAGTACGCCACAGGGCCAGAGGGAAGAGATTCTTCCCAACCTATTACACTTCATAAAAGTGGGGCTGAAGGTTGGAAGGGGCAGGAGCCAGGATCCTGCTACTGAGAGGATTGAACATTGCTCTTTGTTTTTATTTTTGTGTGACATTGACACCCTCAAAACCTCTCCTTGAGAATACCAGTACATTTCCTGACTTCATTCAATGTGTTTTGCTGTCCAAAGTATGTGCTGACAAGCTTTTTGAGAACTCTCCTCTTACTGGAGCATAACTCATTTTTGGTCCTGCAAACATGGGATGGGATGGAGGTCCCAGAAATGTGTTGTTGGCTCAGGGCACATCAAAATTGGGAAACATTGAAATCTTCCACTTCAGAGGCTGGGTTGGACCAGAGGTGGTGGCCAAGGAAAGCCAACTTGAGCCACAATCGCCCTCTAGTGGAGATAGAATGGAAGCACCAAGAATCTCCAAAAATGCATTCCTTAGTGGTGTAAACCAGCAATGAGCAAACTACATCTCCAGGGCCAAATCTGACCTGCAGTCTGTTTCCGTATGGCTTGCAGCAAGATTCGTTTTCACATATTTTAAATGGTTAAAAAGTAAAAGGAAGAATATCTCATGACATGTAAACATGTGAAATTCACAATTCAGTGTCCATAAATAAAGTTTTGTTTTGTTTGTTTGAGTCGGGGCCTCACTCTGTCACCCAGGCTGGAGTGCAGCCATAATCAAGGCTCACTGAAGCCTCGACCTCCTAGGCTCAGACAATCCTTCCACCTCAGCCTCCAGAGTGTTGGGATTACATGTATATGACACCATGTCTGATTAATTTTTTAATTTTTTTGTAGAGATAAGGTCTTACTGTGTCGCATAGGCCAATATTGAACTCCTGGAGTCAAGAAATCCTCTGGCCCCAGCCTCCCAAAGTACAGGGATTATAGGCGTGAGCCACTGTAACAGGCCCTATAAATAAAGTTTTATTGCAACACAGCCATGCTCATTCATTTATATATTGTCTATAGTCACTTTTATACTGCAACAGCAGAACTGATTAGTTGTTAAAGAGACTGCATGGCCCAAAAAGCTGAAAATATCTACCATCTGGTCCTTTATAGAAAATGTTTGTTGACACTTGGTCTAGACCCTGAGCAAGACAGAAGTGAAACTCTTTTATTCAGATCGATTATTTGTCCTTACTGTCCATATTCTGTTCCAGTTGCAAGGAGGCTGCCTCCTTGTAGCCAATCACAGGATCCAACAGGAGTTGTGTCCTCAGGTGAGGGGTAGGAGGGAAGGTAGACCTCAATTTTCACTTATCTTCTCAAGAAGACTGCATGTAGAAAGACAACATGGCACCTCTTTTCACTAATTAAGATGGCTTTTAGCAAAGCCTGAGCAAACTATCCCAACAAGGAAGGTTCACAGGCCATTATATCAATGACACAGATACAACCGGGGACTATTTGGCACACAGTGGATGGCATGGATGCTGCTACCCTCTTAAGACGTCAGAGCTGGCTGAGACCCCGAACCTTCTGTTCCAACCCATCTCCTCATCAATAAAGAAGCCGAAATCCAGACAGGTAAAGTGTGCCAGGTCTCCTGACCACTCAGTGGTGGAGAAGGACAAATGCCTGTGTCTCCTGACTCTCAGCAGGGGTTCTCCATCCTCTCGTAGAAACCTGAAGTAATCTCTGCTCAGTCTCATCAATTTAATAAGTTGCTTCCCTTCCTAAAATCAAAATTCTCCTACACTTTTGAAATTAAAAAGCCTTTTTAATAAGAGAAGGGTGATAAAATATGACAATTAATTTTTTGAGAGGACCTTACTTGATAATAACCAAAAAGAGTTGACGTGTCTCTATAGGACTATAAGATTAAAAAGAATAGCTGGTCTGTGAACGTTAGAACCAACTGCCACTAAAGAAAAGGTGAGATTTCCTCAAGTAACTTCGGTGTAGCTCATTAGTTTGTTAATTTATTTGTTCATGTATTGACTCAACAAATATGAATTGAGGACCTAGTAAGAATCTGACCATAGGAAAATAAACTAAATTGCTGGTGCATCTATATGTCTGGCACCTCATTAACCATTTTATAAAAAATTTATGCAATTTCATGACTGCCACTCTGCAGAATAGGTGGCACAGTCCCATCATGCAGCTGAGAAACTCAAGACTCAGACAGGAGCAGTAACTTGCTTGGCCAGTCAGACTCCCAGTTCCTTTGCTCTCTGTACCCCATGTTTCCTTCTTATGCCACTGAGATGTCTGAGGCAAAAATGGTTCAGAGAGGTAAGTGAAAATTCAGATGAGGCCAAAGGGCCCAGGGGACTGGAGCAGAGGGATGGCGTGGGGGACTCACCATTGAGTAGCCAAGTGATCTGGGGCACCGGGGTCCCCTGTATGGAGCACTGCAGCACAAAATCCTGGCCCTCAATGACGGTGCAGTCCTTCAGGACACTGGAGAATGAGGGGGCCACCTCCATCATGGTCAGCTCTGTGAGGGAAAAGAACAGGTCATCTCAGATCACAGCTTGCCCATTCTGGTGACGACTATTGTCACCCCGAGTCTCACAGGCATGCCTCACTGTCTTGGGCACCTGAGCCTCCTCAGCAACCTGACTTTGCCCTATTTCTCTTCACAATTAGCACCTGTGGTACAGAGACCTGGCGCCCAAAGAAGAGTAACTGGCAGGGGCTTTTTCACAGTCACAAAACACCCAAGGACTGGGGTGCTCAGAAACTGGGCCTGCCCTCCGTCCTCTGTGACTAAGGCACCTCCTGTGTTGTCTTTTTTTTTTTTTTTAATATGTCCCTTTTCATTACAGAGTCATAGAGCAGCATTAAATTTCATTCACCTTATCTACAAAAAAATCAATGAGCAAGTAAAAAACATATATAGAAATCAAAAGTTAAATTTAAAATCAAAAGATGTTCTTAATACTTTTAATAGATTAAAAAATTTGGGGTCTTATTCAATTTCACCCTGTAATAAATATATTGCTTTCTTCCTCTCAGAAAAAAAAGCATAAGTATTATATTGTTCATTTGCTGTCTTTTTTTGTTTGTTTCTTTTTTTTTTTACATTTACTGTCCTGAGAGCTCTTTCTTCCTACTTTCTTTGTCCTACTCTACTTTCTTGTGTCTCTTATCTTCTTTTCCATGTCTCATTGGTGATTACACGGCCTTCAGAATACACACACACACACACACACACACACACACATATATTTTTTCCCTTAGAAAGCAGGATTTATTGAGAGGATGGAAAAGCTCCCACAGTGGGAGAGGACCAGAAGGGGTTGCCCCAGAATATCTTTTTAATGTAGAATTCATAGGTCCACTGTTGAGTATGTTTCCATCTTAAATTATAATTATTTTTTCCAATTCCAGAACTGGATCAAATGACAAAGCACTCACATGTTTCTGGTTTTCTAAGTGCAGTTTAAGCCTCAGACTAGATCAAGGGTTCAGAATTGCCAGGGGCCTGGGAATATGTATTATCAACACTCCCTCTTGATTCTAATGCACATTCTAGTTGAGGACCACTGAGTTGAACTTTTCAAAAGCCTTCTACATCAGTGAACTGGGGAATATCTTGTAGTTTGGTAACCTCAATAAGAGCAGTAGGGATAGATAATCTCTTCTACAATAGTCTCTTCTAACAGCCACCAGAACTGTCAAGGTGGCTGATAGATAGATAAGAAAAGGTAACTGGATTTGGTGATGAGATGATATATCACTAGGACCTTTCAAGAAAGCCTATTCAATACAGAGATGAGAGCAAAAGCCATGCTGTATTTCAAGGGTTTGTGAGCAAGAAAACTAATATCTGAGGCCCTAATATGTGCCAGGAACTTTTCTAGATGTGCCTGTAACAATGCCATGAGGTCGTTATCTTGAAGTCACTTTACAGACGAGGCTCATGGTTTTCCATAGTTGAGCCTGATGGTGAAGCCAGGTTTTTCAGTCAGCTCTCTAACTCAACAGCTATACTTTCTCCTCCAGACCCTAAGGGAGGGCAGGCGGTAGGAGAGCAGCTACAAGACAGAACGCAGTGCATCGGGACAGGAGTGGCACTGAGGGAGGGATGGATACACTGCTCTAAGAGGTACAGGGAGGCACCATAACCCACCCCTTGCCCTGACCAGTGTCAAGCTCCCTCATTAGAGAAACAACTTTGAGAATCATGAAAAAGAATATAGTCTTTTGTGCCAGGCTAACTTAGGTTAGAAATACGCTCTTTTTTACAAGCATGTGAATGTGGATAATTCACTTAGCTCAGTATTCTCACCTGTAAAATTCTAATCTGTAACTATAATTTTCTCATAAGGTTGTTGACATAAATAAAATAATGCAAATAAAGCATTTAGCACAAAGCCTGGCACACAGAACATCCTCAGTGAGCATTAGCTGCTATTATCACATGGAAGCTGTGCGTAGAGATTCTGCATGCAACAAGCGTAGTCTGGGGGTGACAGAGAGTAGAGGGGTAAAGTAGGAACTTGAGGGGCGATCAAGCAGGAGGAAGACTTTCCTCTTTCAGCACAGGGAAGACCAGAGCATGCTTGTAGGAAGGAAAAGGAGGCCTCTCAATAGGGGAGGGGAGAGATTGAAGAAATGGTGGAAGAGTAAATCTTTGTTAGATCAGATCAGATCCTTGTGAAGAAGGGAAGGGACAGAAAGAGAAGCCTTGGGAAGGGAAACAGGTAGCTCTTCTGCAGTAACAGGAATGAGAAAGAGGGTCTGTAGGAGGAGCTGAAAGAGCCCATGTCAGATGCTTCCTGGTAAAAGTCATTTGCCAAGAATGAATGGGGTGTTTTGGAGGCTGGAAAAGTTTTACAACAGCTAGTGTCTTCAAGAAGATAGGGAGCCAAGCAAGAAGTACTTCTGGAATGGCAGAGTAAAGACCTCTGAAAATCTTCTCCTCCAAAAAAGCAACAATACTGGCAAAAAGAGTCAAATCAACTTTTTCAGAACTCTAGAAATTAGCCAAAAGCTTACAACATTCTGAAGAGTATTCACTTACAAACAAACAAAAACAACAAATTCCCCCAAAATCCCCAGTTGAATCTTGGTAAAAACAGTAAGCTTTGTGGCATTTTCATTTCCATCCCCTGCCCCCAGCTCTGAGGTAGCTTTGAAAGCCAAAAGTAACTATGATACCTGTGAAAACAAGTCACTTAGCAGGGGGCAGGATGAGTTTAGAATCCACCCCCAAGAGAACTGTCACTATTTGACCTGTCTGGCAGCTCCCTCAATAGCTCCATTTTCAGGGTGGTCTTTATTTGACCTGACTCACAGTTTGCTCTATGTGACCGGTCCTATCTCCAGGGTGTTTGTTGAAAACAATCAGTGACAATATTTAACATCACAGTTACTTGAGGTAGCAATATCAGTTGGGGTAACAATAGTCTGACCAAAACACTTAGAAGGAAAAATTGGGGAATGAGATGTCCAGGCTTTGAGAACCTCTGGTAGATTTCTGAGAACCTAGAAGGCCACATGCATGTGCAGGGCTGTGTGCAGCCCAGGAAAGACATGAGAAGGCCCTCCTCTCTCAACTCTGGCTGACCTGGAGGCCCAGTGCACACAGGAAGTAAAGGCTAAGCTGGAATTGTAAACCGTTGGCTGGAGCATTGATACCACGTCCCAACACATACATAGAGCCCCTTGTCAAAGGAGATGTATTGGTTCAAGGCATTTAAGGAAATCTCTATCTAATCAATTAGATGGTCACTAAGCTAACTAAGCAGAGACTTCAGTAGTCACATATGACAAATTATCCGGACTTACAGAATGGAAGAAAATCATTGCAAATCATATGTCTAACAAAGGACTTGCACCCAGAATATATAAAGAACTCTTATAACCCAACAATATAACAGCAAATGACCCAATTAAAAAATGGGCAAACCATTTGAATAAGTATTTCTCCAAGAAGATATACAAGTGGCCAATAAGCATACGATATGGTGTTCAATATCATTAGTCATCAGGGAATTGCAAATCAAAATCACAGTGACATGATTGTGGATGGCTATAATTAAAAACAAGCAAACAAGTGTTGTTGAGGATATGGAGAAATCGGAACATTTGTACATTGCTGGAAGAATGTAAAATGGTACAGCCACTATGAAAAATAGTTTGTTTCTCAAAAGGTTAAACACAGAATTACTATATGACTCAACAATTCTAATCATAGATTTAAACCCTCAAAATTGAAAATAGGTATTAAGAAAAACTTGCACACAAATGTTCATAGCCACATTCTTCACAATAGCTAAAAGACAGAAACAAGTAAATATATGTGAACTGATGAATAGATAAACAGAACATGTTCTATCCATATAATGAATATTATTCAGCCATCAAGATGAATGAAGTACTGATACCTGCTCTAACGTAGCTGAATCTTGAAAACACTATGCTAAGAGGAAAAAAGTCAGACACAAAAGATGTCATGTTGCATGGTTCCATTTAAATGAAATGTTCAGAATAGGCAAATCCATAGGAACAGAAGGTAGATTAGTGGTTATTGGGGCTGTGGGAGTGATTGCTAATGAGTAGGATTTTAGGGGGAGGCAATGAAAATGTTCTAAAATTATATGATGGCAATGACTGCACAATTCTGAGTTAATAATTATACAGTTTAAAAGGGTTACTTTTATGTTATGTGAATTATATCTCAATAAAGCTGTCACACAAAACAAAACAAGATAGGGAGTCACCCTGAGATGAATTATCCCAAAATGCAAACAGGCTAAAAATAGTCTTCCACAAGACTAAGATAAGTTCACAGAGGAGGAAGCCATAGGAAAAACTAGGTTCTCTGGGCACATCATTAATCTGTGATAAACCTGACACTAGCCCAGGACACAGAGCCTTGGCCTTAAGGATGAGACTTGGGCTGCTAGACCTGTGAACGCTGTCTACAGGAACTCCCACCCCCAAACAGAATGGATAATATTCCTTGCAAAATAATACACAAACATAGTAAAAATCCCAGTCAAGAACCGAATCAATAATAGACAGTGAAAAAGTAAAACCCCTACTTCTTCCCAAGCGCCCCCAGTTTCTCCCACACAGAGGTAACTTGTGTACCTTTCCAGAAATGTTTTGTGCACACATAAGCATGCTTTCACATGTATATACACAGATCTTTTCTTCCTTTTATACAAACTGCATAGGATGACCTGCAGCTTGTACTTTGTTCTTTTCGATTTCTAGTGTATCTTGGACATGTTTCACTATCAGAGTCTGCAGATTGCTGCATGCATGGCATTCCACTGTATGTATAACCATTATGTTATTTTTTACCAAATGTTTATTACCAAAAATGTAAAACATATATATAAGTAGAAGCAGTGCAGTGAATCCCTGTGTACCTTTCTCTCAAATATCATTTATACCAATGTTATTTCATTGATATCCCTGCCAGTGTACCCCAAATATAAATTATTTCTAAGGCAAATACTGGAAATCATGTCATTTTACCAGTAAATAACTCAGTTTGCATCTCTAAAGTAGATGAACTTTTAAAATAATAACCACAAGGCTGGGCACAGTGGCTCACACCTGTTATCCCAGCATTTTGGGAAGCCAAGACTGGAGGATCATTTGAGGCCAGGAGTTCAAGATCAACCTGGGCAACATAGAGAAGACTCATCTCATCTCTACAAAAAAAATCAAAAAAATTAACCAGGTGAAGTGACATGTGCTTTTAGTCCGTACTTGGAAGGCCGAGGTGTAAGGATTGCCTGAGCCCAGGAGATTGAGGCTGCAGTGAGCCATGATTGTGCCACTGCACTCCAGCCTAGGAGATAGAATGAGACCCTGACTCAGAAAAAACAAACAAACAAACAAACAACAAACAAACAAAACACAAGGTCATGATCATATCTTAAAATAGCATGAATTCTTTTATATTAAATATCTTTTCAATGTCCAAATTTTCCTGATGTTCTCATAAGGTTAGAAAAAATTATCTCAATCAGGATCCATACAAGGTCCGTATGTTGTAATTGTAGATGTTGTTTACATATCTTTCAATCTATGTTTCCTATAGATTGTCTCTCTCTTCCTTTTTATTTTTGCTTACAATTTATATGTAAAAAAAATGAGTGATGGTTATTTGTCCCACACAGTTTCTAAGTCTGCAATTTGCCGATTCTACCCCTGTGGTATTGTTTAATAGGTTTCTCAAGGGTATGACATGGGTCTGGGGTCTACTTATGCATTCAGAGTCAGGGGGATATTTTATAGAACGATAGGTACAAGAATATTTATCACAGTTTTGTTATGGTAGTGAAAAATGACAACAATTTAAATATTTGACAATAAGAACATACCTAAATTAGATACATTCATTCTATGCAATAATATTGGGACATTAAAAATTATGATTTCAAAGAATATTTAATAATATAGAAAGATGGCTATGTTACATGAGCAAATCAGGATAGAAAGCAGTATATAAACAGCACAATGCTGACTTTGTTTAAAAAACATTAAAATATCATTTATTTCAGAGTCATAAGATTATATATTGTTTAAATTCCCCACAATGAATATGCATTACTTTTATAAACAGATATTACAGCAAGCATAAAAGTTGTGGGATCCCACGCATCTCACATTACTCTAAACCTGTATATTTAGTGAACACTTGGTTCTTTGTGCTTACAGATATGAGTCATGGCACTATTCGAACAGCTGAGGAACCTAAAAAAGGTAGCTCTCAGTTGAGCTGGGAGTGGAGACTGGGTATATTTATTTAGAGGTGATTCTGAGGTGAACTGCTGATTAAGAATCACTGGCTGGCCAAGTGTGGTGGCTCAAGCCTGCAATCCCAGCACTTTGGGAGGCCAAGGCGGGAGGACTGCTTGAGCCCAAGGGTTTGAGAGTAGCCTGGGCAACTTGGTGAGGCCTTGTCTTTACAATATATCAAAAAATTAGCTGTGTGTGGTAGCATGCACCTATAGTTCTGGTTACTTGGAAGGCTAAGGCAGAAGGATCACCTGAGCCCAGCAGGTCGACCCTGGGATGACCATGAGCATTCCACTTCACTCCAGCCTGGGCAACAGAGTAAGACTGACTAAAAAACAAACAAACAAACAAAAGCCAAACACGAATCACTAGTCTAGAGCAACATACTTGGCCTTGGCATGAGAGTGGGGATGCTACTTGCCAGTTGTGCATGAGAGGTGAGGGCTGTAGGAGACAAACTGTCTGCAATATATGGAACACCCTATGAGTGTTCCTCTCACAGAGAATGGAAGGTTGCCCAGAGGCAGTACTCACTTTCCACTAGGAGGGTCCAGCTACAGGACACCTGGCCTCGGGTATTGGAAGCTGTGCAGCTATATTTCCCACAGTCTCTGGCCTGGGCTCGCAGCAGGCAGAGGTAATGGGATCCAGCATCTTCATAAATCTCAATGGTGCCTTCTTGCCTCCTCACGGGGGCACCTTCCAGGAACCAGGTCACTTCCGGCTTTGGGATTCCTGAAACTGCAGAACCAGGTGTAGAACATGAGTCTCCCTGGAGAGTACACTGTGCTTGTGGGGCAGGTGGAGAGGCCTGAATTGAGGGAGGAGCTCGGTCAGGCTAGGGGCTACCCTCCCATCTCTGGGTCTGCTTCCTCACCCCTCAACCCCACCCTCCATTGGACAAAACATCCTGAGACAGGGCCAGGAGGAATACAAGGGTGACAAGCCAGGTCTCCATGTCGGCCAAAGACAGAAAAAGGGTGGAAAGAGCAGAGGAGACCCTGTGAGTTTTTGTTTGTTTGTTTTGCTGCTGGTAATGATGAGGGTTTTGTTTCTTCTAAGGTAGTAAGAATTGGGGCCTAGGGCCAACGCTGTAGTCAGCAACGAACAATGGATCACTATTGAGTGTCTCCAGAATAAAGGACATTTCTAGAGTAAGTCTTTCCTGAGGGGAAGAACTATAAAGAGGTTTCTTGGGGGACCTAGCCCAAGGGGATGGGTAAATATAGGGGGCAAAGACCAGCTGTGTGCTGAAGGGAGGGAGAGGCTACTCACAGGCTACATTTTGGGACCCAGTGACCTTAATTAGCTCTACTCACCCTCACATTTGAACTTGACTGTTTGATCTTCCCTGACTTTCTGGCTTTCAGGCTTGCTCTCAAATTTGGGGAAAGTTGAATCCCTCTGGCTCTCCATGGGGATTTTCCTAGTAGCAACCCTACTAACAACCTCTTGGTTTCCTAGGCCAGATGGCCTGGTGGGAAGGGTGGCTAGATGGGGAGCAGCTGGCCTCCTCCTTTCTTCTCCAGAAGGAGACAGGGCTCCCAAGACTGGCGCTCTTGGTTCTGGCTGGACTTTTGCAGCCTGCAAGGTGATGGTGCTAGAAGTCTTCTGAAGGATGGGAGTCTGCAGGACCGTTTTGGGTGAGTTCTTGCATGGTTCCAGCTTGGACTCCAACTTGGGATGAGGTTGGGTGTTTGTGGCCCAGGCTGGGGAGCCACCTCTCTGGGTGCTGGAGCAGTTCTTACTTTCGGCTGCAGTCTCCAGGTTGTCCTGTTTTGACCCCTTAGAGATTCCACTGGTCGCCTCCCTCCTGAGGTCTGAATTGGTGGCCTTTGTTCCTCTTAAAAATGACCTGTTTGGTGGGGGGGGCAAGGTGAGGGGGGAGAAGAAGGTGGAATAGAAGGATCATTTGCTTAGTTACAAACATTCTCATCACAAGCACAGATTCTAGGCATTGCAGAAGCCCACAAGTTAAGAGCTAGTAAGGACAAAAGTCTTTCTTTGCATTTGCTCAGTTTCCCAGAGCACAACCAGCCATTCTGGACATTCCCCTGCCCCAGGGCCCTGCTTTACCCACATTTCTCCACTGGTACCCCCTAGTTCAAGCCACCCTGCTGGTTTCCTTGGTCCTCTCTGCCCTCTCTAATCCATTTTCTACACAGTAACCACAGTCAATCTTTTTTTTTTTTGAGTTGGAGTCTTACTCTGTCTCCCAGACTGGAGTGCAGTGGCTGCTCCTGGCCACTGCAGCCTCGACCTGCTGGGCTCTGGTAATCCTTCCGCCTCAGTCTTCCAAGTAGCCAGAATTACAGGCATGTGCTACCACGCCCGGCTGATTTTTTGATTTATTGTAGAGACGAGGTCTTGCTGCCCAGGCAGGTCTCGAACCCATGGGCTCAGGCAATCCACTCACCTCAGCCTCCCAAAGGCGCAGGATTACAGGTTGAGCCACCAAGCCCAGCACAGTCAATCTTTTAAAAACATAAATTGATGATGTCATTTCAAGCCCAAGAATTTTCCAACAACTTTTCTACTTTATTAAGAATAAAAATGGGCTGGGTGTGGTAGCTCAAGCCTGTAATCCCAGCACTTTGAGAGGCTGAGGTGAAAGGATTACCTGAGCCCAAGGATTCGAGACCAGCCTGGGCAACTGGGCAAGACCTCATCTCTACATTAAAAAAAAATTTAACCGGGCATGGTGGCATATGCTTGTAGTTCCAGTTACTTAGAAGGCTGAGGCAGAAGGATTGCTTGGGCCCAGTAGGTCAAGGCTGCAGTGGTTATGAGCATGCCACTGTACTCCAACCTGGGCACCAGAGTGAGACTCCAACTCCAACTCCAAAAAAATAAAAATAAAAATGAGCTTCTCACAACAGCCTACAAGAATGGTGGCTCTGGCTGCTCTTGACCCACATGAGATACTGTTCTACTGCCCAGTGGGCTACCACATGGGTGTCCTTCTGCAATCCCACATGCCCACTCTCAGCTCAAAGCTCCCATATACTATCTCAGCTGTCTGAAACACTCTTCCTGAGTTTTTCCTCACCAGCTAACATTACTCTTCACAGCTTGAGCTCAAATATCAAGTTTTCTGAAGGAGCTTCATTGACTCTTTATTCTAAATCAGCGTCTTTCTGTTATTCTTCCTCACAATGCATACACAGTTAATTGTGTATCCCCGTGACTCTGTTTAATCCCTTCTCTATGTTAGACTGCTTACCACTCTACCCTCAGTGTCTAGCACTGAGCCTCACACACAGGAAAGGAAGCTCTTAATGAATCCAGGCTGGATGAGTGAATGGATTCTGGCCTGGGATGAGTTAGTGGCCTTCCTAACGATGGCTAGCTAATGAAGCTATCCTTCCAGCATAGTCACTGAGAAAGATGATAGCATTGAGTTTTCAAAAGTCTCATTACCGACAGCAACCCTGATACAGAACCCATATGGCATACTGCAATGTGAGAACAAAACACCCAAAACAAAACAGTACCCTCCAGTCAATCATCCCTCCCTATATAATATCTCGGAAATTCAGGACATTGCTCAATAATGACCCTTCGTTCCTTGCAGGACCTTTCAAGATGGAAAATATAACAATCACAAAGCCTAGACATACCTGTTGGCATTGTCCAAACCTGGAAAAAGGGGAAAGGGTAGAAAGACTGTGTTAATGGAAGGCTTTACACATCAAGCTTTTACTCCCAAGCCTTTCCCTGTCACTGTGGTACTGCCCTACCCCTCCTTCCAGCTTTCCTGCTGCTGAACTTCTTTGGCTGGTCAGATAAATTCTTCCCAGCCCTGGACCACACCGTCAAAGCTTCAAATGCTGTTTGACAGTGACTGGTGCTGCCATACCCTGAGGGCATGGAATCTGTTCCCACTCATTAAACAGAAGGAAACAAAAACCAATCCAGGGACAAACAAAAATAAACATTTACTGAAAATTTCAAACACTGTAACTTACTGGTGGCCCTCAAAAAAACAAAAACAAAAAAGTCAACAATCCCAAAGTGTTCTTTATTTTTTGCAAATACATGCTTTAAAAATGTACAGAGGAGTATAATTTTAATTTTATTCAGTTCTTCAAAGAAAAAGCATACACTATATGTTTTCCTGCCACATTCTTTTTTTCAGATTTTATTGTGGAAAATTTCAAAATATATAATAGAGACATGGATATAACAAACCCTGAAAGCCATCACCAAGATCAAGGAAATTTCAACATTTTGCCAGTTTTATCTATATCTTTCGGTTTTCTTTTGTTTGTTTGTTTTGAGTATTCTAAAACAAATCCTAGGCAACACACTACTTTGTCATTAAGTCCATTAGTAGGAAATAGTTTTTTGTTTTTGTTTCGGTTTTGAGTCCATCTCACTCTGTCGCCCAGGCTGGCGTGCAGTGGCACAAATATGGCTCACCACAGCCTCCACCTCCTGGGCTCAGGTGATTCTTCCACCTCAGCCTCCTGAGTTGCTGTGACTACAGGTGCCTGCCACCACTTCAGGCTAATTTTTTAATTTTTTGTTCAGACAAAGTCACTCTATATTGCTCAGGCTGATCTCAAACTCCTGGGTTCAAGGAATCCTACTGCCTCAGCCTCCCAAAGTGCACTCTTGCAGTCGGCAATTAGAGATTCAGAAAAGGAGTCTCAGTGAGAAGAAGAAGCTGGAGAAGTAGGGGTAGGAAAAAGTATGGGGACACAAGGGAAGGTGGCAGCCCAGCGCTTGGCCTCTTCCCCTGTGGTCGGGTCAGTGCTGCCCCACTCCCCTTGTTTCTTGTTAAAGACCTGCCCCTGGGGAATGCATGCACACGTGAGAGCACCACATATATACACACACACACTTGCGCAGTGAACAAGCAGCTCCTCTAGGAGGGTACAGCACCAGGAAGGGAACGTTCTGCACTGGCCCCCGCTGATCGATACCTTGGATGGAAAGCTCAGCTGACATGGAAGCCTTGCCTGACCCATTCACCACCATGCATGTGTACACTCCCATGTCTTCTTGGCTGACTTCATGGATTTCCAGAACCTGCACCCCGTTCTTCTCAGACATCGACACACGGGCACTTGGCTGCAGTGGAATATTTCCCTGTGGATGACAGTGGAGTGACTTGGTCATAGAAATATACCTTACCTTTTGGCAGTGTCCTCCTGGCCTCCTGGCAATCCTGGCAAGACAGACACCAGGACCTGGGCAGCAGAGTCCTCTGCTCAGAGGACGGTCTTTGGACAGTCCAAGGGCCTGGCCTGAGGTCCATGCATGTGGTGTGGCATTCTGTCCAGCTTAGATCAGATATGTGGGAACTGCTGCAAAGGAACTCAAGTTTGGAGTAGGAAGTCCTATATTCCTCACCTTAGGTTTTCTTTGCCTCCCCACTGCTTTTACTGTTTTCCCAGGGAGTGTTCAGGAGAATTAGAAGGCAGATTAGAGGCGTCCAATTTCCACTTTTTATCCAAGAGTTGCATCTCTGAGAAACCTACACTCTCTGACCTTGACCCCTCCGTTCCCTACAATTCCCATTTCCCTGTTTAACATCCATCCCCACCCCGCCCCCTTTCTCTAACCTCTCCCACCTCTTTCACCTCTGTCTTTATTTCATCCAGCCCCAAATGATTTATAAAGCATTTCCAAGTCTCTCACCAATATTTTGAAGGAGGTGGTATTCTTTCTACCTCACAGATAAGGAAGTCAGGGTCCCAAGAGATCCCATGACTTGTATGTGTGTGACACAGTATCAACCAGGGAGCTGTGGCTTCAATTCCACTCCCTTGAGATTGTCAGATCCGTCTTGACTCAGAAGTTTTATGCTATTTTGTGAGTGTGAGGATTATAGGAACACTGGTCTGAGTAACAGAGGGAGAGTGTGCAAAAAAGCAAGAACAAGCATTGCTAGCAAACACACAGAAAACCCTTGAGGATTACCTAAGGGTGAAACAGAAGGAACTGATTGGAAAGACAGGCCCCCACTAGTCAAAGGGTCTAACCCTGAACTTTCATGGTCCCCAGACCCGGGTCAGAGTCAGAGCAGACAGAAACCTCACCTTGAGCCAGGTGACTTGCGGCTGGGGCCGCCCAGTGATCTTGCAGGAGAATCGTCCCATCTGCCCTTCTTTGACCACCACTCGGCCCAACTTGGTAGCAAACTTTGGTGGACACTCTCCCCAGATGCTAGGACGGGTTTCCACTGCTGGGGCTGAAAATCTGTCACTGGAAAGAAATCAGCAGAGAATCCAGTCCCAGATATGACAGCAATTCAATCCTCCCTCCATTCTACCCAAGTCACTTAAAGTGCTGTCAGAAACCATGAAAGGGTGGCCCACCCAACTCTATGCCTCAAACACTTTCTTGTGCCCTCTCTGGAAAAAATTTGTGGCACCAAAACCAATTTCCTCTGTCTCCTGGGCATGCAGCTAGACTTCATTTACTAGCATCCTTTGCTGTTAGGCACACCTGAGTTCTACTGATTCTAGCCAAAAGCCTGGGTTTTGACCAATAGACTCAGCAGAAGTGCTATATGCCCCCTGCAGGCTCATAAAAATCTCCTGTGAGATTATCCACACTCTCTCTTGCCCACTTTGCTGGCTAGATGTAGAAGGACTAGCAGAGGCTCCAAGGCCCTAGGAGAAGATGGAGCTATAAAATGGAAGAAACCTGGGTCCTGGAAGAACAGTGTGGAAGGCTCTCTACTTGTTCAAGAATATCTGAGTTGAATGTTCCTTGAGTAAGAAATAAACTTTCAGGTCAGACATGGTGGTTCACACCTATAATCCCAGCACTTTGGGAGGTGGAAGTGAGAGGATTGTTTGAGCTCAGGCATTTGAGACCAGCCTAGGTAACATAGTCCCTACAAAAAACAAAAACAAAAACAAACAAACAAACAAAAACTAGCCAGGAAGCTGAGGCAGAAGAATTGCCTAAATCCAAGAGGTTGAGGCTACAGTGAGCCATGATTCTGCCATTGCACTCCAGTCTGAGTAACAGAGTAAGATGTCAACTCAATAATAATAATAATAAAGAAATAAAGCAATAAACGTTCCCTGGGTTGAACCATTGCAATTTGGGGCTTGTCCATTACTTGTCTCTTGTAAGTCTACTTATTTAAATCTTCTGACAATTGCCTTGACTGTTGAGTGTTCTGCTGACTCTGGCCATGTCTCCCACTTCCTTAGCATCTAGCAGCTAGGCCAGTCAAGGGGGCTACCCACAGAGGATGCCAGGTCAGGAGGTACTGTATGAATGACATACCCCATCCTGCTAGGCTCCCATCCTTTAGTTATTATAACCCAGGGGGCCCGCCAAGACCTGCACCCTAGACCTATCCTGGTCAAGTCAGCAGGAAAGTCAATTTACCTCTAACTCTGCTTTGCACATTCCAGAACTTACCCCAAGGTTTTGGAAACAACAGGTTGACCATGCTTCTTCATAAAACTCCCTGTGTACAAGAAAGAGGGTTGAAGGGTCAGGTCTGAGCCATCAACTTGGAGCAATGGAAGTCAGGAAGATTCAACAGCAGGCATGGGGTTGGAGAATGACAGTAACTGTCATCCCTGTGACTGAGCACGAGCTGAGTCATTACGGGCCCTACAGTAGGTGCCTTACATACATTATTGTGTGAATTTCTTACAATAATTGCTTGAAGCTGGTACTACATTATCTTTCTATTTTTAAAATAGATGAGAAAAGTGAGATTCAGAGAAGTTAATTCACCCATACAAGGTCACAGAGTCAGTAACAGTGTAGAAATTCACCCAGGTCTGCCGGGTACTAGAACACTAAAACACTCAGCTGAGTTGTTAGGTGTTATGCTGAACTTTCCATTTTGGGGATTATCTGTGGTGATCCAGGACATATCCAGAAAACAACCCAGTTAAAGGGAAGGAGGGAGATGCCTGTGTACATCTATTACCACGTCTGTTCTCGACTGACACAATGAACACTCCATTTTTCCACTTACGACCTAGCAAATAGCAACAAGCTGAAATGGAGCAGGGGAGATCACCAGAGATGAGTTACAGTGGAGCCATGCCTTACCTAGAATCTGCAGTGCTGCCACACTGGCACCACCAGGCCTGGGTAAGATGTTGCTGTGCTGGGCATTGCCAATCCTGGGTGAGATGATGCTATACTAGACGCTATCCTACAGGGTGCTGCTGATCTTGGGTGAGTTGCTGCTGTACTGGGCAGGAAGCAGTTAAATAGCAAACCCAGCAAAGCAACTGGGGTCAGCACCTCTCATCCAGCTGCTGCAGCTGGGGAGGGACAATTCATAATGTGACCAGGAAATAGAGAGGGTTTTATTTTGAGGAATGGGGACAGGGAGGAGAGGACATTTTTGAGACGGCGACCACCCTGGAAGTTGTTCTCTTTTTGCTACAAGCTAGGAATGTTTACAAAATCCTACCCAAGGCGTGCACAGGGAGGGTAAAAGTCATTTTCTAACTTAGCAGATAGCTGCTAAGGGAAATTTGCAAGTGTTTACGGGAAAAGGGTAAACTTCCTTAAATTCTGGCACTGATCACATTCCTGCAACTGCACAGGAACGTAGATCTGGAGAAGGAAGATCATGACTATTTCCCCCAGCCATTGCTAGTTTAAGGTTTCACCAGAACCTTCATGAAAAGGGATTAATAATGAACACCCGCATCACATTTGTGTCTCCATATGACTGGTGATCACTATACAGATATTTCTGTTTCATTTAACTACCAAGTGAACTATGTCTAGCTTTTCATTCCATAACTGATTTGGTTCTTACCATTCTATTCTCCATTTTCTAAGGGTAAAGGAACTTCTAGGCTGGGTGTGGTGGCTTACACCTGTAATCCCAACACTTTGGGAAGCTGAGGTGAGAGGATTGCTTGAGTTTAGCAGTTCCAGACCAGCCTAGGAAATGTAGCAAGATCTTGTCTTAACAAAGAAAAAATATGTATCAAAAAAAAGTAGCTGGGCATGGTGGCATGCACCTGTAGTTCCAGCTACTTGGGAGACTGAGGTGGGAGAATCACCTGAGCCCAGGAGGTTGAGGCTGTGGTGAGCCATGATTGTGCCACTGCACTCTAACCTACATGGATAAAAAAGGAGAGACTTGTTTTGGAAGGACCTAAGTGACACATACAGTCAAGACGTTGGGGTCCTGGGGCAGGTTGGATGAAGTGCAGAGTTTTCAGTCCTGGAAAAGTATCTGAGCAAATAAGAGTCATAAGCTTTAAAGACACTCTAGACTTGGATAGGGACCTCTCTTCTGTGACTCCATTCAAAGGAGATGACAATAGATTCAGAAAAGAAAGTTTACAGAACTGCTCTCTTTGGTCTTATCTGTAATAGTAAAAAAAAACTATTTGAGACAGTAAAAATTGGAAACAATGTAAATGCCACACAGAAGGAAGACAATAAGTAGTTAAGTAAAATGTATGACTAGATATCTTATTCTTAAAGTATGCTTAATAATCTATGAAACAAGCAAATATATGTCAAAATATTATCTAAAACCTATAAATACAATAGTAAAGAAAAAATAAAACATTTACTTACAAAAAAGTAGGGGAAGAGAAAGAAAATAAAATCTGGCACCCAAATAGAGGGTCAATAGGGCCTCTTATGCAAGCTCTACATAACATCACAATCCTAGAAAATCTATGTACTGTTTGCTCACTTGTCCATGCTACTGTGTCACTCATTTCATCTTGAAATAAAGAGTTAATAAAAATAGGATTGATTGACAGATGAATGGTTGAACAATATGTGGTTTATCCACACAATGAATTATTATTCAGCCATAAAAAGGAATGAAGTATTGATAAGTACTACAACATGGATGAAACCTGAAAAATTGTGCTAAGTGAAGGAAACCAGACCTAAAAGTCCACGTGCTGTAGGATTTCATTTATATAAATGTCCGGGAGAGGCAAATCCATAGAGAAAGAAGGTTCTTGGCAGTTGCCAGGGCTGAGGGAAGATTGAATAGGTGTGAATGCTCAGTGGGTGTGGTGTTTCCATTTGAGGTGATGAAAAAGTTCTGGAGCTAGATAATGGTGATGGTTGCATGACACTGTGAATGTACTTAGTGTCACTGAAAATTACACACTTTAAAATGGTTAAAATGGTAAATTTTATGTAATATGTATTTTACCACAATAAACAAAAATGAGATTGAGCTTTTTAAAAATTCTTGGGAGTTAAACATCTTTATCCAAAAGGCGTGAATTCCTTTATTCCTTAAAAAAAAATAAAACGAAAGCAAAAAGATAGCACTTCCCCAATGAACAGCCAAACAATGCTGTTGCGAGGTACCTCTATGTCAGGGTAAGAGGATTTGATTCAAAGGGAACATATGAAGCAGTCAGCTAAAAATGGAATTGAGGGACACTTATTTTAATGTGAGCTGACACCAGAGAGTTTACATCAAAACACAAAGAGAATTGGGGCTAAAATAACTTAACAGGGTCTATTTATAGGAAAAGAATTTGAAGTTGCAAATTGTCAGATAAGACAAAATTAATTTTGTGAAAGTATGAAAATCTGGCAGAACAGTAAGCCCATGTTAAAAAAAAAAGTGGAAAGGGGATTAAGGTAGAAATGCTAAATATAGAAGAGTGAGTTAAGAGAATTGGTGAGGACAGGATCAAGTTGGCAAGGAAAAAGAAAGGCCAAGACTCTAAAGGTATTTGAGACTTATCTGAGATTTTTCAAGGATGAGTAAAAGAGAATGATGGCATTTCTTAGGAGTGAAAAGTTCAGTAGTGGAGAGGATAAAACTGGACCTAGCCCTGTTTTGTCAACGGGTATAGAAAGACTGAATCAAGATGGAACGTGCTGCTCAAAAAGTGAATAATATAATCGGCTGTAAGGAGGCAAAATGCCTCTAAAAATGTGTGGTGATATAATTTATCATCCAGACAGAGACTCAAACCTGAGAGGGACACAATCCATAATCATGAAAGGACAACAGGAGAAACCAAGACTATTTGAAGAAAACTGGGGAGCACTCACCCTGCCTGTGTAGCCAACTTCAAAGTGTTTTTAAGGATTGCTTAAAATAGTGGTTCTCCACTCTATCCAAACAAATGTCCCTTTTTTTATAACATAAAATAATACATAATGCCATCCTGAATCGAAGTTCGCCACTAATCACTCATACATGTAATTTTAAAAAGAAAATAAATGTTAAGCCTTAACCAAAATATTGAGGCAATATGGGATAGTAAATGATAAAACTATACACTGTAGTATGTAACTGTTCAAGCATGACTATTTCAATATGTAAATACTCAGGCACATTATAAGACAATGGAATGGTCGCATGCTTGTATTAACACATAATGCATGTATGAATTTTGTTTTTTTTTTTTTTGATTGGAGTTTCACTCTGTCACCCAGACTGCTGGAGTGCAGTGGCCGCTCCTGGCCACCGCAGCCTCGCCTGCTGGGCTCAGGCGATCCTTCCACCTTAGCCTTCTGAGTAGCTGGAATAACAGGCATGCGCTACCACGCCCGGCTGATTTTTTGGTTTATTGTAGCGATGAGGCCTCGATGCCCAGGCGGGTCTCGAACCCGCGGGCTCAGGCAATCCACTCACCTCAGCCTCCCAAAGGCACAGGATTACAGGCTGAGCCACTGAGCCCGGTTGCATGTATGAATTTAAAAGTGAACGATCAAAAATCGTATTTGTACAAGTAACACAGAAAGATAAAAGAGCACACATGTGAATACCAGAATACTAGAATAAAAAATAGTGTTAGGCTAAATAACAAAGCAGATATATTATATTAAAAAAAAAAAAAAAAAAGAAGGCCAGACTCAGTGGCTCAGCCTGTAATCCCAGCACTTTGGGAGGCCGAGGCAAGTGGACTGCCTGAGCCGGTGGATTTGAAACCCACCTGGGCAACTTGGCGAGCCCTTGTCCCTACCATAAATAAAAAATTAGCCGGGCGTGGTAGCGCGTGCCTGTAGTTCCAGCTACTTGGAAGACTGAGGCGGAAGAATCGCTGGAGCCCAGCAGGTTGAGGCTGCAGTGGCTGAGAGCATGCCACTGCCCTTCAGCCTGGGTGACAGAGTGAGACTCCAACTCAAAAAAAAAAGAAGACAATAACCTTAAAAGAAAATAATATAGCAAGGCAAGTTACAGACTGACAAAGTAGAGAAAATGAAAAAAAAGAAAAGAAAACTTCTTATGTGGTATCAAAACAATTCTCTGTTTTGTGACATGGGATTGAGTAGTAAAAACTTTATGTCTTAAAAATCCCACCATACCTTGAAACATACACTCAGCGAATCATTTGAACAAAAGAACAGTAATAATAACAAGAGACTATAGAGAAGTTATGTGTTAGGATGAAAATAGCAGTAAGCTCAAAATAAATAATTTCAATATATAATCTTTTTATAACATAGATTATTGTTGTACCCTGATATTTTTTAAAAAATGAGATGGTA